GGACTTTCTTCTTCTTCTTGCTCTTATTATTATTATTATTATTATAATTATCATAATTATTATAATTATATTATTATAATTATTATAATTATTATTATTATTATTATTATTTTTCGTCTTCTTTCTCCTCCTCCCCCTCGAATAAAAAAAAAGCAAATACAGTGTAAAAGAGTCAGAGAGATAGAGAGTGAGAAAAAGAAAAAAAAAAAAAACAGAGAGAGAGAGAGAGAGAGAAATTCTCAACCAAGAAATATAATGGTACATGCATTAATACATTTCCTATTATTAAGAAAGTGCATTGTTTTTTTATTTCTTTCTTATCGAGCAATATTATTACACTCAATATTTTGCTCATTTATTCCCAAGTTAGCAAAGTAAGTATCGTCCCGTATGCTGTTAGTATTAAACGATGTTTAATTTTTCACGTCACTATTAGAATATGTTTACTATTAGCACTCTTAGCATATGTTGTTTACACTTGTCACTCTTAAAACATATATATATATATATAGTAAGTTTATCAGTTTCTGTGGATTCCTCGACTCTATTGAAATTATGATCAAGTTTCAAATATGATGTCTATAGAATAAATTCTCCCAATGCATGCACATTTTGCGTGTCTTTTTTCTAGGATTTGGGAACGTGCTCAAGTTTTTCTTTTAACATTTTTAATTCATTTTATTTCCTATATGAAGTGATGATGTCATTCTATATATCAAAGACAGTGTAAAAATACGATTTTTAGCAATGTGTCCCTTATACCGTTGCCAAATATCGTATAGAGTCGTGAGTTTTAGTAGATTCCACCCGAATCATATATAACTCCTTTTTCAAACATCATTTCAATTTACAATTGTCGGTTAACTACAAAAATTCATGGACAGAAAAGATCGATCGGTACGATAAGAGTTCGTTTACAAAATGACCTAACGATCTAAACTAAAATTTCGAATGCGCTATAGTTATATATAAGCCTGATGCACTACACAGAATTGTGACTTGTTAGGAATTAATTAATCTCTTTTTCTCTCTTTCATACTATAAGAGAGACTAGGGAGACGAGGGTTTTGTAATATCGAAACCTATGCCTACTACAAATTTTATAATAACCCACTAAATTTCCATGCACATTATATATTTCAAATATTGTGCACACACACACACACCACCACCAACATGTTTCTTTTGCAACTTTCCAGCATTTTTAGAAGCTTGAGTATGGCTTGGATTTAATTAATCAATTATTCATTATTACTAGATTCTGCAAGAGATTCGATTCCAAGATATATAAGATATATCCAAATTGGATATTTCACAATGTTTGCACAATTTGGCAAATTATACGATCTATAGGTCACATTCATGTCAACAGGGTCACGATCAAAAGAAAATAAAACAAGACGGCAAGAGAAAAAGAAATTGAGAGTGACCGTAGTTAGTTGGGAGACGTATCCCTGATCTGTAGGTATTATGCCTTTACTGACTGAGCACTCAATGCAAATACGAGCACCCAGTAATGGTTAAAGTATAATTTATCGCACTGGAAATTGAACCCCGTTATACTGGATATATAATGATCGATTTTTTTTTTTTTTTTTCATTACTTTTGCCGGTAATTAGATATAGGACGGGGATATTTCATTGTTGAATTTTGCAAATTTGATTCCTTAGTAAAGCTTTCGATAAGAAAACAATTTTTGTGGCGGCGTAAAGGGCGACTTCAATGTGCATACGCGTGAAACTTATTGTGCCCGGCTATTGAAGGCGATTTAAATACTTATAGAATTTATGTGATATCCGTTCCGATGCGTAAACCTAAATCTAATACTCTTTGCACGAACAAATTTGTTTTTAAATTGACTTATACGCTTTTGCATCTCTATCTCAGACAAATTTTCTCAATAATTTTCATAACAATCAACTAAATATACAGACAATGAAAATTTCGGATATACTAAAGTACATTTTTATGTTAAGAATTAACAAAAAAAAAAAATAAAATGCAACTGTCCCAACTGTCTATCTATCATCTATATCGTCTCACTTGCCTATAATAGCGCATACCTTTCAAATTATATTTAAGAGTTATTGGGCGGAAATTTATAAATAATTGTGTCACCTAGAAATTTTATCTACTTCAGCTTGTATATATATATATATATATATATATATGTTGCCTTTTTGAAATTTGCTGAGAGGGCGGCAAGCCCAAGAAGGTGAAAGGTAAACATTCGCGATCAATTATACCCTTTTAAATACATTACAACATACATGGTCATGTGTCTGTGTTATGTGAACGGATACTTCTTGATCACAATAACAATGTTGAACATAATTTGAATCAATAAATTCGATTCTTGACACCAAAACTACATTTCACGAAATACAATGCGATTAAATGCTTTCTATTCAATCAATTCTTTAAAGAATGCATAACAACATCAGGAACAATTCTGTTTCTCGCGGAAATTATGTTAATAATCATCACCCAATAACCCCAAGGCTATTGCAAGGACTTTTACATTTGAAATTTGAATTCAATATAATGAAGCTGGAAGACTCGGTCAAGATATGTAGACTTCGAAAGTGATGCCAACTTCATTAATTTTCTAAGTTTGCCGTTTATTGTCACCACATTTTCATTGCCATTTAGTTTTTCTATTTTATTTTATTTTTTTTTTTTTTTGCCTTTCCATTGCTCCTTTTGATGTCGTTGAACTTGTTTCAAATGAGTCAGACACGTTAATTACTTGCCACTGAATTTCTCACTGACGCGTTTCAAAAATTTAACAAAACAATTGTTAATTCATATTCATTGAGGCAATCATTAATTGCAAAGATTTATCGGTTAATGGGAAGATCATATGTTTTAAAAAAAAAAAAAGCCTAAACCTATAAAATTTAATTCTCTTTTGTCTGTTTTCATTGCAGACTCCACATTTTTTACTTTCCTTTACACAACTACTAATATACCAATCAAATTCATAGAATTCATTCCGGGTAGACTTACGATCACAATACAGATAAAGCATGTCTCTTATTATCAGTTCTTATTAGAATAGCGGAGAAATTATCTTCCACGAAGAGTAAAGTCAGGTAAGTCTAAAAAACTATGCAGTCGTAAGCTGACTATTTATGATATCCCACATGGCAAAAAATGGCGGATCCAAAAAAAAAAATGAATAAATAAAACAAGTAAGAACATTGTAGTCGCATAAGGCCGACTATTACACACTCTACTCCACATTGTCTAACACAATCCTTATTCTTATTACAGAACACAAAGATCATATCTTGCTATTATATCAAGGCATACCTTTCATCTCCGTACTTATGGGGAAGCGGGCTCAAAAAGCAACCTAATTGCGTTATAATCGTAGTATAAGTTTAATCCCCCCCATAGGGCAGGATCGAAAAGTAGATGATCCAAATTTTGTAAAATTCATTTTTATATAAAATCACTGTTGTGAGTCAATTTTCGTCACCATACATTAAAACTTAGACTTCGCTGCTCTACAATAGATCGATTTTCGTGAAAATACTTGCTAGAAAGCGATCCAAAAAATAGGCAGAGATAGTCCAAAGTTGGTACAGTTAATTTTTGATGTTGAATTACTATTACGATATAATTTCCATTATGAACCAATGGAAATTATGCCTTTTGCCGTTTTCTTTATATGAGAGCGCGTTCAAAGATTGCCTCAGCCCACAACAATACTACTACCTAGCGACTTTTGCTGATGAAATTTTAAAAATTGCCATTTTTTTTGCAGTATAATGATTTTTCAGAACAGGGCATTACATGGGGCGTGGTCGAAAAAGTGGACCGATACGAATCATTTTCAATAGCGTCCGTCCTTGGATGAAAACACGTCGCTATAGCAAATTTCATCGCAATATCTTAAAAATTTCGATTTGTAGATTGAACGCAAATTTACATGGACCGTCATCAGACGGACAGAGGGACAGAAAGGCTTAGACCCACTCAGATAACGATGCTCAATCGATCTCTACAATAAAAGACGGGTCTACTTTAAGCCCTTCTGAGTGTTACATATGTCCGCACTAACTTAATACACCCTGTATCACAGTTGGCGTAGGGTATAAATATTGGCCCATATGTTCAAAAAATATTCGCTAAAAGTGTAATATACGAAGAGCATTACGTATAAAATTGCAGTTGACATGACACACCCGAAGAGTAACATATTTAATAAAATATACCCGGGAGGGAGTGCAATAACAAGCAATAACACAAGAAAGAATTTTTAAGTAACGAACAATGCTAACAAAAAGAAAAACAAAAAAAGTAGTTTCTCTAAGCGCACGTTTGTTCATTATAGCCGTGATTCAAGCAAAACAGAGGTAGCAGCCGGTAGTGCCAGTAATTTATCAAATCTACAGTACCCCCTCTCCTGTTACCTATGTATATAAAAAAAAAAAAAAAGAGTTGTAATTTTCATATATTTTTATCTAAGTGATAGCTAACCAAGATCCGCACCAAAGGTGGCGATTTGTTTACCGAAGCTTTAAACATCTCAAAAAAAAAAAAAAAAAAGAAGCAAATTGACATCTTTTTGCTTGTTCCTTTTATGAATTATTCATCAAACCTAAGTTAAGCACTAAATATTTATCACTTGACACCAACCGTACGTGAGTAAATAAAATCAAATATGTATATATTCGTTGTTGCCTCTACAACATTCAGAGGTCACGATGATCTTTTACCATATCAAGTAAAATTGAATTGCGCGCAGTAAAAAATAAAAAATAAACGGAAGAAAGGCGAAGAACAAAGACTCTTTACGTTCTTTTTAATGTAAACTATTTGACGAACGAACTCATGCCGATAAGGCATAAATTTATTAAGCAATTATTTTGTCCAATTTGTCGCAAGAGACGTTGCATTTAAAATACAAAAAACGAAAAATGAAGAATTTAAGGGAAACCATGTAACTGTTACCTACGCAAAACGAATAAAAGAAGATATCAATTCGCGGAACAACGGTACCTAGTGGTGAAAACTATTATTAATGAATTCTGCTTCCATTATTCTAAAATTCGTGGCGACAAACTTTATAAAATTTATTTTATGCACGCAACTAAATTAATTTCTCATATTTGTGGAGTCAGCGGTTCGTTTTGCAATGAATTCGATCAATTAAACTGATTGTAAAAAATATGATTTAAAATAAAATTGAAAAGAAAATAAAAAAATATATATATATTTTTACTTGGAGATTTCATACAATTATTTTTTCTAACAAGAGATGCAAATAACCTTTAGAAAATGAAACGTATTAGAAGCAACGAAAAAATGAAAACAAAGCAAGCACAATGATGGCAATTCCAACAGTGGAGTTTTTACGTAGACATGAAGAAAAAAAAAAAAAAAAGGAAAAAGAATTTAGAAAAATTCAGAAAACAACGACGCAGCACATAAAGCGCATGAAATCTTGTCGCAAATTTCTTTTACAACAGTTTTCATACATTTTGTTTCCATTTATTCAAGTCAATCTCACCTTCTTTCTTTCTCTTATTTATATATCTATATATATTATATTATATATATATACATATATATATATATAATGTGTGTACATATATATGTATATGATGTAATAAATATTTATTTTATATCTTGTGTAACATACGACTTGAAATTTTTTAATGATATTAAGGAATAAAAACTTGCGAGGAAATTTCTGTTTCTACACCACAAAAAAGAACGATAGTTTTATTCTTATTTAATAATTTCGGCTTTTCTTCTTAATTTCTTTGTACAGTTATTCCATTGTTTAGACTTTAAAGAGGAAAAGAGATAACACTATACAAGCGCACATGTTTGATGGCGCGGTTAAATGAAAAAGAACTCACAACAGTACTTTCTATTGTGAATGATCATACGAATTAAAAGGAAAAGTGGTAAGAACGAAATAATGGAATAAAAATATGTAATGTAATAAAATTTATAGACATTTTTTTTTTTATAATATTTACACATACGCTGCAATTTGTTTTTATTTACTTATTATTATTAAATGCGTATGTATCAATTATTAATAACAAAACTTACCTCCATGCTCAACAGTTATTGTGTAGCAAGATATTTTGAAAGTAGAAATATAAATTATCAAACTTTTTCTAGTTTAGTTGCTGAATTTCTAAATATTTTCCAAGAATTCTCACTTTTACACCCTCTTTTTTCCTTTTATTTCATTGCACACACAAATGCACTTTTAACAGAAGGTTGCTACGGCAGCCGTTGCTGCTAGTACTTCTGTTATTGGTCTCTGTATGTACCCGCTGACGCACTTACTCCACTCTTACTATCACTATTACACTTAGCAATGACTATCTTTATTGCGGGAATTAAAAAACAACAAAGCCGCAGCAGATATTCCAGTCCATCCCTTCGTACGCAATTTCTTTTTTCCTTTTTTTTTATTATTAAACAAACACTCAACAATTTTTCCAAACGTCTTTTAATTGACTTTTTCTGTGAATGTATAACATGTTTAGTTTTTCTTTATTTCTTTAGAAAGGAACACACGTCCAGATTAGAACTAGCGACTCCCAGCAAATTGGAAGTCATTAGTAGTTATAAAGGAAAAAAGACAAATTGACACAATTACAGCAATTTCGCCCAACAAATTTTCACTTGCCTGAAATATGTACAAAATTCACACTTTAAACCATAAACTATTCATGTGTCACTATTTGCTTAATTATTGTTAATTGTTTAAGTATATTTTATAAAATTTTCATCAAAAAATTACACTTATTTTCAGATTTTTTTTTTTTTACATTACGAAAAATTGTTGACGAAAAATGCGACCGAAAATGAAACACGAAACTTCTTCAGCATTCGTCGGGTCAACAGAGTTACCGTTTGCGATTTATATCTTCCATAAGTATTATTCAGCATATTGTAAAAAAGGAACATTATTACTTTTGAGAAATTAAGGAATTTAAAAGAAAAGAACTTTCCCAGTATTTTCTTTAATACTTATAAATAATTTTCACTTGGCGGAACTCACAAAATGCTAATCAATTTTTTAATGCTTGTCAAGCAGCAAATAAATTGCTGTTACAATGACAGTGTTGCCCTGTAACTCTTGCAAAAATTGCCTTCTTTTATTTTTGTATAAAGCCTCCTAAGAGGCAAACTTCTTTTTTAATTTACATAGATAGGTATTACGTTGTAGCAGCAATTAAAAGTACATGCGCTGTTCAATGATAAAGACGTAATCTTTTTGTTAACAGTACGATGCTGTGCAATTAACATTATATCTTACTGTGAACGTTTTAGTAAGGCTTGCTAAAAATTAGACAATGAAAAAACAAATCCTTTGAGAAATGTATAAATACTTCATCAAATTTTTAATATATATTTTTTTCACATTTATTTACGATGCGAATTTATTGCATGACTGTAGCGAAAGGAAATTTCATATAATATAATTTCTTTGAGAATTTACCGTTTTTGAAATATTTATATACAATATACAGGCGTCCCTCGTATCACATGGTACTTGTAAAACATAATTTTGATATTACACGATACAAAACTTGCAACAATTATGGCACGGTTTCGCTAAAACAATAAGGAGACTTTCAACCAATTTAAAAAAAAAAAAGATTAACCGTAATTTTTATAAAAATTCAATATGTTTTCGCGATCATTATTCTTTGAACATATTTTTCGTTTTCGCATTTTGTTATAATGTTGAATTTCATTCTTTTTTTTATAAAAACTTTAAGTTAACTTACTTTTTCATTTACATGTGCATTCGGAATAAAATTTCGTATTAAAATTTTGATCATAAAATTTTACACCTTAATACCTGATGTCGATACAACACGATTATTCTGATATACGTTATATCTAATTTTAAATTTTACTCTTCTATACGACATTTTACTTTAAATAAAATAATAAATGAATTTCGTATATCATTGTTTCGACACAGTACTGTACGAATTAATCGTATTAAGCCAGGATTGTATATGTCATGTGTATATAAATTTATTAGTAGATATATATGTACCAATTATGCATATGAGTAACAAATTTTACTTATGACGGGTTTTCTTTAAAGCCGTAAACCGAAACAAACATAAGCGATTGAAGAAAAAATAAGTAGACAATTGCATCTGGCAACAAGTGAAGAATCGTCCTTATTTCAAATGGATACTACATGAAGTTATAATGTTCCATTTTTATATATCGAATATTTATATAACTTTAATGAGTATTATGATAGATAGATAACATTTTAACTTTTCTATCATCGAAAATTCAAAAAGCTCACGAACAAGAAAGAAATCCTTGGCTGACTAAGAGAAAATATATTATTTACAGTACAATACTTTCTTGCTGATGGATGTTTTCTAAATATTCCAATTGGAATAAAATCATAGCGTTGCTGAATGTAATATATGACAAAAGCATTTTGCGTATGCCAAGATCATTTACTAAATAGATGTAATTTATTGCATAAGGTTTATTAAATAATCGGATGTAAATATGCGATGTAAGTGTAAGAGAAAGATATGGGTAACATGAAAGCGTACAGAAGTTTTGTCTACGTTAGGTTTTCGATTTTAAACCAACTACATTGCGCCAATTTACTTAAACAATTTTGTATCTCTCGGCCATCATATTTATCTTTTCGAAGAGGTTTCAGTTGTACTTGCGTTGTACTTTCTCATTGCAAGATTTTATAAGCGATAAAAACAAATATCGGTGTCAAATTTTCGTTGTAATCATAATTTGCAGATTTCAGAGAGCCAAATATATTCAGAGTTGGACAGATATTATTAAATCAACTTTGAATCTGATATACTTTGCCTATTTGCTTAGTTATTTATTGCAAATATTTTAAGGGCGTTATCACACAACCATATAATTAGATTTTTGGAAATGGAGATAGAGAAAGCATAAAAGCAGAACAAATTTTCTCAAATAAACAAGGAAACGCGCAACTGAATATCCGAAGGGTATATTGGTGAACCTTGAATAACAACCACCTTTAACGAATATTTTCACGTAAAGAATGGGGGTTTATGCCTATTGTGAATTGTACATGGCTTTGGCGAATAATTGTGAGCAATTTTAGATGGACACATGCTGCACTTGCTACGCCTCGATAATAAAAATGCATTATAATTTTTTTTCCAATTTTCTATACTTATATTAATTTCTAGCCATCGAGACCTTATAAATAGACTATTGTAGACTATTTTTTTAAAACGACTTCGAATTGAATGTAAGGGTTAAAATATTACCTGTTATATAAATTTTCGCGACTTTGTGAATTTCAATGATGTATACATGAACACCCAATTACTTATCAAGAAACCATATCACTCAGTGAGGTTTACGGTTCATGTTTCAAAATATAGCATATTTAATGACCGAATTTGATATGTTACGAATTCTGCTAAGAATTAAATTGAAAATCGCCTTAATCTGCAGAATTTCGAAAGTTCGACGTAGACTGTGTTATAACAGAATGTGTGTGTTTACAATTTGAACTCAAGGTAAATAGTAAGCTGACTTTACTTCTTTCTATATCTTTGTTTTTTCGGACATTTTCCCTTTTATTGTTAGATATCTTATTGCTGCTTATTAATTTTTGATAGGACAAAAACCTTGTCATGATGGAGGAACAACCTTAATTCAAATTGCTTCATTCTTTGCTACTACTACTGTACGCGCGAATTCGTCTCAACAATTAATGCCAAGACTTGCAGTTAAACATCGAAATTAAGATAAGATTGTTTAGATGCAAGTTTTTTTTCGCTTTATCATGTTACAAAATCGTAGTAGCATGTACATTTATTATTGTAAACAAAATGCAATTTTATATAGTGACGAAATCAATCGCTTTCTTAATTAAATAGCGACACTCTTAAGAAAAACAAAAAATTTTAGTTGCAAAAATAAACGCAAAAGAAAAGATCACCTAAAGTTTCTCATTCGAAAACTATATCCATCATGTCCAGAATAGCAATGACGTAGCCATAACGATGCAAGCCACAGCTACATATGGTGATTTACGCTCGCCAATACGAGCTAATTTCCAGAAAACCCCCAAAAATCTAAAGTTATACAAATAGTAGAATTCATTTAACTTTGTTTACTATAAAAGGAGCGTACCCGGTCTTATTGCGATCCATTATGCTGGGAAAAAGCGAACGTAGATAGGCACAGGTACATATCATCAATAAAATTACCGACAACAAACTTTGAAAATTGAAGAGAGCACTCTGAATAATATTGAAAACACCGTTAAATCTTTCAAGAAATTATAACTAATTGTACTATTATTCTTTTACCATTACTCAGCTTGAATACTAAAAAAAAAGAAAGAAATTAAAACCCGCACAAAAGAGCTTTGTTGTCACTTAACCCAAAATGACTATTCACAATAATTGTTTACATTAATCAATCCAAACATTGAAAGATTTACACAAAGGTTGTTGCCAGCATTCATTATTAGTATAACCTGTTGCAAAAAAAAAAACCAATTCACATAATACGTCATACACTTCTGGGCATGGCAACTTTGCCTATACTAAGCAAAACGTGCTTACAAATTTTCTTCGTTTAAATAAAAGTATGGGCATGAGCAATAGGAATATTTTAAAGCGTTCTAAATATTATAATTTTAATTAAAATTGTATTTAGTTGTTTTGTTATTTGAAACGTTAAGTGAACTACGTAAACCAGTAAATTTGAGACTGCCGTAAAGCGAAAAAATTCTCGTTTGTTTTTTGTTTTTATATTGCTTTGGAAATGACCAATTTCAAAGCTTTAAATGTAAAAAAATATCCTAAAGCTGGGAAGGTAGTAACGCCGGATACTGAATATTGGAAAAAACTAAGCGTAAGTTTAATATACAGTAATAGTCGTCCATCAATATTTCAAAAATTTTGCTTTACAGGTGCCAACGCTAGTCAAAGAATTTGGAGCGATCGATTTTGTAGATTTCAACCCCATAGAACCGCATTACTTTGCTGTTACTTGCTCAGTGCGTGTACAAATTTACAATCCTATAACTAAGTTAGTAGTAAAAAATCTCAATCGTTTTCAAGAAACTGCATACGGCGGAACATTTCGTCGAGATGGCCGTTTGTTGGTAGCTGGTGATGAACAAGGTCTAGTCAAATTATTTGATACTTCCACCAAAAATGTTTTGCGCTTATTTAAGGGTCATAAAGCTCCCGTTCATCGTGTAAATTTCACTGCAGATCTCTTGCATATAGCTAGTTTCTCTGATGATAAGACCGTAAAATTATGGGATATAACTAATGAAAAATCACTGCATACCTTCAGTGATCATCACGATTACGTGCGCGCTGGTGCTGTCAATCCAGTATCAGCAAATGTTATTATTTCTGGTGGATACGATGGCAAAATTAAAGTATACGATACTCGAACGCAACAACCAACCTTAAATATTGATCATGGCTGTCCTGTAGAGTCTTTACTTTTCTTGCCTACAGGTGGTATATTCCTTAGCGCTGGCGGTACTGAAGTGCGTGTTTGGGACATTTTTGCCGGCTGTCGATTATTAGCAAAATTGTCTCAACATCATAAAACCGTTACTTGTCTACGTTTGGGTTCTAATGGCAAACGTATATTATCTGGAGGATTGGATCGTCATATAAAAATTTATGATGTTGCTTCTTATGAAACTGTACATACATTAGACTTTTCCAATTCTATACTTAGTTTGGGAGTGGCTCCCAATGATCAAACCGTAGTAGCTGGTATGGTCGACGGCTTAATTTCGATACAGAATATGGAAACCGGTCACGAAAAGGAACGACAACAACAACGGCAACGCAAACATGTTTTTAATAAATTTGCTGAACGCGCCGATCTGGCTGTGGATCATCAAATTGTGATTGCAAAACAACCTGCTTTATCAAATTATGATCGTTTCTTACGTCGATATGAATACGGGAATTGTTTGACTTGTGTACTACCTCCAGTCGTTTCCAAGTTCCATCCTGAAATTACTGTCAGCGTTATGCAAGAGCTAATACATCGTAAGGGTTTGCACCGTGCATTGGCTGGACGCTCCCAGGATTCGTTGTCATCTATAATATACTTTATAAATCGACACATTGGCGAACAACGATTTATGCGTGTGCTTATTGATGTCGCCGCAATTCTATTAGATGTTTATGAGGACAAATTGTGCGAATTTACCGGCCAATTGGTTCGGAATTTCATGCAACTAAGCGAGACGTTGAAACGTGAAACTGCTCTTACATACAATTTGCTAGAGTTACAAGGTTCTCTAGAACTGTTAATGGCTGCTTCCGACGTTTCAACTAATAATGATGAAATGGTGCATTTCATTAAGGATGGCAACAACCCCACAAATATCAAACAATCGGCTATGGCACAACAAAGTTCAATCCTAATGGTTTAGCAATCGAATTGGCCATACATTCTCGCTAAAAGATTTATTTTGCGCCATTTGGAACTGACTGAGAACCTCGATTAATTAAAGCAAGAAAAAAAAATGCTACTTTAACTGAAAATATGTTAGTGCCTCTTAATTGTAAGCATAAACTGTCTTCGTCATTCCGTTCAATTGTCTTTATGCACTTCGAGAACGCTTATATCCCATGATTAGAGATTTAATAAAATTGTTTAAATTGAGCATATTTATGCATTACTAGCGAAAAGAAAAAATATGCAAAATCCGTCTATTCGTTTAAATAAATAAATCGAATATATATTTTATAGCCGTCATCGAAGGTAAAATGGCGAATAGAAGAAGAAGAAGAATACACTAACTTTGTAGTAATTGAATTGGCAGTTACATAAATAAACCTTACTCGTATGCTATAAGGAACACATTTAGTCGCGTTTCTTTAAATATGCATTATATTTTGAACTTTCGTAAAATATTAAATAGAAAGGTGAAATTTCCAAGTCATTGTAATCCCAAGAAAAATGTTACGATTGTCAATACCATTCATGCAACCGATCACAAACACTGATCTACCGTTTAATACAAATTTTGTGAAAGCCATTTGAAATCTCTGTACAAATATTTTTTCGATCCATTCATTCACTTTTAATGATATTTATTTTATATTAACATTGTGATTATCAGACACATTGGTCAGAGTTAATTTTTCTTCAGAAAAAGTGAAACAAAAAAAACGATATTATTCGTCTCTTCGATTATAAATAAAAGAATTGTCTTTCGGTCAGTTAGATGGTTAGGATTTGATAAGTTATTCAGGAAATCTTCTAAATTGATTTCAATACGATTGATAAAGCCTTTGCAAACTTCTCAAGTTATCGTAGCTGTGCTAAGTATTCTTATGTAAGTAATATATGAATGTTTTCATTCTCTGCTAGTTTTAACCATTGAATTTTGAATGAATCGGGAATGAATTTACCTAAATTTGCCTGTGAATATGTTCCTTTGTTTTGACATTATTAACTAATGTTGTAGCGTTTCGTAGAGTTATGTTAAGGATTATCGCAACGGTCGCGTAGATATTAATCTTTATCGTACATAAAATATTTTTGTATATATATATATATACGCGCGTTTATTTATATGTTTTGTAACTGATAAAATTAAACTTATACATGTTATTGTTATGTTTGCTTTAATAATCTTGTCAGTCGTTCAGTCGGTTAATACATACATAGTTATGCCGACTTTTTTTCTTTTTTTTCTTTTTTATTGCTTATCAATTTACTTGCCTTGTTGTATATGTCTTCTTCAAGTATAAACATGCGTATATGGACGCATACACATATAGATACATTAACTGATTTGTACTTAAAAAATTATTAAATAAATATATTCTTTCATACTCACCACCACCACCACGATCGGAGGATGAAAATATAATGAATTGATTGATACGCTTGTAACACCAAGAATTTGTAAGAAGAAAAGTGCATAGATTAATGGGGTCGAAGGGTGAAGGGGTGAAAAAAAATAAGAAGAAGAAGAAGAAGAAGAAGACGAATATCCTTAAAATGGTCAATGGGTTGATTTGATTTGAAGACATTTTTCAAATGCTTTCACGCATGCGCGCCATGTATTGTTAGGGTGGTTGAACTTTGAAAGGAAAAAGAGCAAAATTTTATATATTCTACACCTCTAATAAGCAGCAATCTCTAGCAGAATGTTACTCGAAATGATGGGTATTCGAGATTCGTTTTAAGAGACACATGGATGTCTCTTACTTGTTTATGACTTTATTTTTTTTATCTTAATATAACGTTCGCTATCCGGCGAATTTTTATATACAGTCGTATTCTTTCCGTTCACATTTCACATTACGCGAAGGCACAAATGCATGTGTATTCGATTCTCTTCGTTTACTCTATTCATCATTTATATAAAGTGTTATAATTGATACAATTTGAAAGAAAGCAGTTCGTCATACAAAATACAAAGATACGAAAAAATAAAAATAAATTTAAAAAAAAATAACGAAATTATGCTGTTGCTTTTATTAGTATGTATTGCTGCAGTTGCATCGCAGGCGTTGGGTAAGTTCAAAAATGTTGAATATAATAAATAAATCGAAAAAAAGAAGGAACAAGAAAAAAAAAAAAAAAAAGGAGAAAAATTAATACAGAAATCAACGTACATTTCAACATACATGCATTGCACGTATTCTATTCCTATTCCATTTTATTCTATTTTATTTTATTCCAACGACTCGTTTAAAGTTAATTATGTGTTTTTGATCGAATCAAAATTCCAAATCTATTTGCCGACCATATATACCATATGCAGATACGAAATTAAGTGACTTAATCGCTAACTGTATTTCTATACTAATATAGCGCGATACATGGAGGCAGATTGAATTCAGGGCAATTAGTTAAAACTGGAAAGAAGGACTGAAGAAGGAAAAACAGCATTATGCAAGCAGGCATACCTCTCTTATACTTTTACTTGGCTTGACGAAATCACTTTTATGTATTGGAAACCTTAATAGCTTCTTAATAGCTATATTTTTGTTTTTGTTGTGATTTAAAAATGATTAGTAGTTTCGAAATTCTTAAGCATAAGATTATTATTAATCTTAATGCAATAAAATATTTAAAAATTTGATAGACGACAAAATAGTTGAGCTGAGCGCATTAATATTTTTGTAGTAGAATTACACATTTTTTTTTTTTTTTTGCTTTACACGCTAAAAATTGAAATTAAACCGTAGAGATAGATAGAATATCATATATATATATATATATATATACATTTGCATTGCGTAGAGCGCGCGCGATATCTGTAAAAAGTTTTATTTATTCTTAGCTGTAGTTAGGTTAGGTTTGAATTGTGTATGTGTGTGTTTGTGTGTGTGTGTGTTTGTGTGTGTGTGTTTGTGTGTGTGTGTGTGTGTGTGTATGTGCATGTGTATGTGTTAACAATTGTAGGTAGGTAATTCTCGTATCTCACTCCCTGTCATATGAGATAATCTCTTAACAATGTGTTCTATCGCATTCAACGCGCAGGTAATATATCAAGTCACATTATAAAGTGTTGTGATGGTGGGAAAACGTACGCAACATCACACAATGATTGCACAAATTACGAAGCTGAAGTTGATAGTATTCCTCCAATTTGGCGTGGACTTTGCCATTCCACTTTCACGGTATGTTGCTCGCGGGAAATACAATCTCAGATGTGCGTTGCTGGTCGATTAGCTGCGTTGCGTGGCTCACGTTGCGACGAAGCGAAAGGCACGACCACAGCTTATGCGGACTGTTGTCGAGCATGTCAAATTGGTCTTGCTGTCAAAGTATCCGGCAATAGTTGTAACGATGAACTGTTCGTTTCATTCGCAAAGGTCGATTCATTTGTTGAATGTTGCGGCAATATAACGAACTCTGAAATTTCGAATACAAACAGCGCTGTCCCTCCGGAAGATGTTAATGCATTTAATGATAATATTAATGAAGATGGCGCCATAATACTTCGTATAGACGATGGTAAGAAGGAAACTATATGTGTATATATATATATATATATATATATATATGTTATAAAATATATTAATTTCTTCACAATTTTAGATATATGTCGAAAGTTTCGCTTATGCGAGCAAATTTGCGAAACAACAAAGGAATCTTATCGATGTAAATGCCATCCAGGTTTTAAGCTTAATCCGAACATGGTTACATGCTCCGCAATTGAGTTACATGAGGAGAGAGACGGTGATGATAATGACGATAATGATGTTAAAATTATAATCGATAAGGAAAGAGTCAGCGGTAAAAGCGAACATAGCTATAAAGGCGAAACAATAGAAGAAGAAGACGAAGAAGACGATGACGAGGACGACGATGACGAACTGCAGCATTCCAATGCATTGCAAGATTTATCTTGTCCAAAAGGTTTTCGAATTGATCCGTCTCGTCATACATGCACCAAAGTTGTTGATGGTATGTATGATGTGTACACAATATTAAATTAATTAAATTGAATTAGATCAACCAAGTAAGAAAATTAATTATGTTCAACTTGAGGGTGAAAGTTCGTAACCCACCATTTGATGTTTGTAAGTTGGTTCGATTATGAGATCTTGCCTTGCGTATGTATAGGATTTTTTTTATTGGCTCGATTGTGATAAATTTTCGACTATTTGCTCTGCATACTTCTTTTAAACCTACTCTGTCGCCATTAATTCACAATAAATATGTCATGCTTCGACTATTTATGTCAATTGTTTTGCCATCACAACTATTCAAAGAATAATTGATAGATTATTGCATAGGACGACTAAAACGGTAAATTATCTTAAAATCCATCTATCGCTATTCGATGTTTCCGACATTTCGAATTTGAAGCCCGGCAAGAATTTATGAACTTTACGGAGTTTTCGATAGCTGCTTCTGGGTGCTTTCAAAATATTGAAAAAAAAAAAAAAAAAAAAATTAATATTAGGTTAGGCACTGTCCATTTTTCCTATATTTGTACGGGCACTACAGCCTGACTGATAGAATATAAATTTTTGTACATTTGCTTGCTATAGTTTACGAGTAATGAGCAAAAAATCAATTTTTTATTCCTTCTGAAAAACGAGAATGACTCTCAGTTTACATGGTACTATAGGCGTGTTCTTCGACTGATTTGGTCCATTTTCAGTACAAACTTGCTTGCAAGAATTTCAAATGTTTCTGCCAAATTTGATATCGAAGCTTCATTTTTGTGGTTAAAGGAATGCTTACAACACATAGACACATGAACATGCTTAGATCGATTCAAGATTTGATGCTGATCAGGATATATATATATATATATATATATATATATATTTATATATTTATATATTGTGGCGTCCCTGAAGATTGCTTCTGGGCATTGCCAACGTTGACAAAATAAATATACTTCCCGACCCCCCCCCTTTCGGGAGTGATGAGAATAAAAAAATTCTTTTAAAAATTGTCCTGTGACGACATTGCCAGGTTGCTTTTGTATTTTGAAATAGGAATTTGTTAAGACTCTTTAACAATTTGTTTTTTTTTTTTTAAATTTTGAAAAATCGCAATCACAGATAATGGCAGTGTAGAAAGTGACGATGAAGCTTACGGCTCAGCTATGAAATGCGCAAAGGGATTTGAATTTATGCAGAAGCTCGGCCGTTGCGTCGATATTGACGAGTGCCTGATCGATGAAAATGCCTGTGATAGCACTCAACGTTGCGTCAACGATATTGGTGGATTCCATTGTGATTGCAAGATCGGTTTCATTTTGGATATTACGCTAAACGCCTGCGTTGATATTAATGAATGTTCTGTTAATAATCACAATTGTTTGGAAACGCAGCGTTGTGACAACACCCACGGTAGTTATGTGTGCACTCGAATTCAAAATTGCGGAACAGGTTACACGCTTAACGCGGATAGTGGCACCTGCGATGATAATGATGAATGCGCCTTGGGCACGCACAATTGCAAGCCCGGATATGAATGCCGAAATACGAAGGGATCGTTCCGTTGTTATCGTAAACATACAACGACAACAAGTACGACGACGACGACGACGACGACGACGACAACAACTACAACTCCGACTACAAGTGCGATTACGACAACAACGGCCCGGCCGCCAATTCATCAGCATAACGAATATTATGAATATAGATATCGGAACGCGACAGGTAGTTTGAGGTACACACCATCGCCATGTGAAACCGGCTTACACAGAAATTATTTGGGAGCTTGTGTTGGTAAGTTTATGAAAAGCAAATGTGACCCGAATAAAGGACGATTAGTAATTAATTGATCGATACTTCAGATATAAACGAATGTCATAATGCCCATATACTCAATCCATGTGGATCCCATAAGCGATGCATTAATACGCATGGATCGTATCGCTGCGAAAACTTACTGCAATGTTCGGCCGGATTTAAATTGAATGCGGACGGAAGCAGATGTATAGGTGTGTTACTGATTATTGAAAATCCTCGCTTTTCTGATATGAAACACATTCATTGTATTTATTTATTCAGAAATCGAAGAATGCTTTCACGGTAGACATGGCGTTGTGCGGGCGAGCTCTGCATGTGGTTGCCCAGCAGGACATTTAGTTGCACGTTTGACCGATGGCTCGACGAGTTGCACGGATGTAAATGAATGTGAATTGAAGGGACCGTCTCTTTGCCCTTCAAATTCCAAATGCATAAACACCCAAGGCTCATATTTCTGTGAATGCAAGCCTGGATTTCAGAAAAGCGTAGAAGCTCTGGGAAATTTATGCTTAGACGTTGACGAGTGTAATGAAATACCCGGACTATGTTCGCAAAAATGTTTAAATTTCTTTGGCGGTTATCGTTGCACTTGCCTAGCTGGCTATGAACTTGGTCCGGATAATCGAACTTGCACGGACGTAGATGAATGCGATATACAAGGGTCATACAAATTATGCATGGGCACTTGCATTAATATTCCGGGAAGTTATGAATGCTCTTGCCCGCGAGGCTATACTTTGGCTAGCGATCGTTTTACTTGTCGTGACATTGATGAATGCTCGAAAGGACAGTTTTGTACCGGTCATCACGATGTTTGTACGAATACGCGAGGCGGCTATAAATGCACTACAATTGTTTGTCCCCCCGGTTACACTCACGATGCCGATCAAAGAACACGTTGTCAACTGAGTAGAGCATGTGAGGCTGACGAGTGTTATACTAAACCATTAGCATATACGTACAATTTTATCACATTGGTTTCGAAATTACCTATACCGCCGGAAGGACGAACTATATTTAGTCTACGCGGTCCCGTCTATTACGATATCGATTTTAGTCAAGTCGAAATCGTGAAAATTGTTTGCGCCGCTAATATCGAGAAAGCAACATATAGCCACTTCAGTACAATTAAAGATAAGCATGAAGTACATTTAAGTCTTAAGCGTCCCCTGGAAGGGCCGCAAGAAATCGAGCTGGAATTAGGTATGACTGTTTTTACAAGAGGACTGCCACGTGGAAAAAGTGTGGCCAGAATATATATTTTGGTGTCGCAGTACACATTCTAGTTCACACCTATGTGTAACATAGGTAAAAATATATGTATATATATAAAAGATTGTTTTTTTTTTTTTTTTAACTCAAAAGTTGATAATTAGTTTGCTTCACAATCGAGAGAAATAATGCATGAAATGAGCTCTGGTTCGCCATTGAGTACAGGCCAGCTTCG